CTCGCGGCTCGCGCGACCTATTTTTCGCGGTCGTAAAACCGAAGGTATCGATGCAACAACTCGGAGAGCGCTGAGATTTAACGTTTTCAACTCGCCGAGATTTTATCTCTCCGAAGGCGCGCATTAAATCGAGCCCTTTAAATCGAACGTTTCAATTTCTCAACCGAACGTGCAGATTTATAAAATCGCTTTCGCAAAGTTCTCTTCAAGGTTTACCGGTTTATATTTTTTCAAAGACTGGATTCCCCCCCGAGAAATTCGAAGCACGTTTTTCTCGAAAAATAAATATATCGACGGCGATACAGATTCCGTGAGTCGTGAACGTTTGTGAATAATAGTCTCGTCGTGTTTGTGGCTCTGCAGATAAATAGAAGAGCGTGTTGTACATTAATATTAATGCCTACCGATCCTGTCGTTTTGATGCCCGCTAATATCGCGACGGGCTGATAAAAATTCGCGCGTCCACCGCTGCGCAAAATAAATCACGAAGCGGCGAAGTATATCATGACGCGCCCGCGGCCCGCGCTCGAATAACCGACAATTTGTCTATTCAAATTATTCCGGGTAAATGCCGCGCGTGTGGCATAGCATGTTAATTGTGTATCGCGTTATTTCAATACGCATTACTCATGCATACACGCCGGCCGGCGAACGCGCGCGGCGCGGGCATAATTTATTTCCGTGCTTTAAGGTTTTAATCCCTTTCGTTATTTAGAAACGTGTGCGCGGCCTACCCACGTACCAATGTCGTGCCTCGAATCGTGATACAGTAATTTTTACGGAGGGGAGAACATTAAATTAATGCGGAATAAAAATAAACTGAAAGTAAAAAGCGCGACGCGCGCGCGCTTTGGAATTTCATGAAGCCAATGACAAATGTCGCATAATTTAAATTATACCATTAATTATTTTCGCTTTAACTGTAAAAGTTTCTTTTTTCTAACAGATAAATTAAAAGCGAAATTTTAACCGAGGCCAACAAGTTTTAGGCCAAAGCTTCGTCATCAACACTAAATGATTTTACAAACATTGACACGATCGCCGTCCAAACAATCGTCAATAATCTCAATTGCGTTTCTCTACGGAAAGAAATGTCTCTTGTTCAGAGATACTTAATTCGAAAGGGTTAAGTTCCGTCGCGTGAAGCCTGCTCCGATATGTCCAACACTCGGCCGATTATTTCTCTTCTCTCGACAGAAAGATGCAAAAATTCGATAATTCACTCACCGATAAGTCCGCGACGTTGCTCCCTTTCCCACGACGCCGTCGCCGCCGGGCTGTCTCAGACGTTGATTGAAGGAAAAGTTAACCGCGTTCAGGAAGGGAGCCTTCTCTCCTCGATGCGACACTCGAACTCGCGATACCCAGTGGCTGACAAGCAGGAAGATCACTGGCACCCCGTCCGATGGAGCGAGAAAAGAATGCACTGCGCGTTCTCGATCGCGGACGGACGAGCGACGGATGTCATGCACTGTCACGATCACTGTCGATTGCCAAACGCCGACGCCGATACCTGTACACGATACGATTATTATACAACTTCTCTCCTCTCTCTCTCTCTCTCGTAGGATACTCTTCCGCGTTCCCGACACGCGCGCGAACAGTACCGCACCGCGGCGCGTTCGCAGCTGCGACCACCTGCCGAACGCGGGCCGTGTTTACATCGCACGAGGCGCGCGCGGTAAAGGAGGTGGGGGGAGGGACAGGAGGAGAGTGACGGCGAGTGCGCGAGCGCGCGACGAACTGTACACCGCTACCTGTCGCTTCGGCGTCTCGCGGGCGAGTGCGCGCCGCCGGCCGCGCCGCGGCGCGCAGACTCGTCGCGCCACCGTAGACCGGCGCGGCGGCGGGGTGGGGACGGAGCGCGCCGTGCCGCGCCACCCCCTCCCCCCCTCCAACACGCCAGCCCGCGCTAGCGCGCCACCCGCTCGTTTACCTCTCTCGCCGGAGAACGGTACACCTTTTTCCATTTCGCTCTTCTCTATCAGCCTCCCCCGGGGGAGCCGCCGTGGATCCTTCGCCGCGCGCCACGGACCTTTTTTTTTCAGGGGGACGCAAGGACGGCTCTCTTCCGCGGGAAACGAGCCACTGATAACGCGAGGCGAGCCGGTCACGGCGCGGCGCGCCCTCGAGCTCAACGCGCGCCTAGCTGCCACGGCTTGACTCCGTGCATTAGACTGTTAGATTGAAAATTGAGATTGCGCGCGCTGCAAATTGGGGACTCGACCAATCGAGAACGAAGCGGGCGAACATGGAAATTATAGACCGGCACTCGTCTTTCGGTTTTTAATAGCAATTTCAGTCAATGACCTGCTGACTTTTGACTCCACGTCATAATCGCGTGTCCGACAAAAGAGCTTTAATTTAAGATCATTTCGCTGTAGGTACTGCACTATTATACCAACGAAAATGAATGAAAGTATATTAACTGTAAAAAGAAAATCCATTAATGTTCGACATGTGTATATTAACACGATAGTAATAATTAATATCATTTGATACACATGCATACATAAACTTTTCTTCTTTTTTAATAATTCCACTGTCAAGCGTTTTTCTCAATATTATTAAACGATTTATATTTTCTTGTTATTAAAATAAAAAGTTATTTTGAAAATTATTGTATTCTTTATTTGAAATATTGAAATTTAGGTTGAGTGCATTCGCTTTTATCACAAAACTTATGTATGGCAATCATTATGCAACAAAAATAATGCATGTCGTTAATTTATTCAATCAATTTTAAAAGAATACTGATAGAATGAGACAATTATTAAAGCTTATGTGCAAAAATATATCTTTTTTATATCTCGATATTGGCTAAAAAAAATTGTATGTCATAGGCCGAAAATGAACTAATCCATTCATAAATATATATAGTAACGTAATAATGTACGAAATATTTGTTTGCTAACGATAATAAGCGATTAATACAAACGTTCTCTCGATTGTGAATTTATTATTTAACAATTCTTAATGAAATCTAAGCTTCCGCAAAATCATTGTGTTATTGCAAACATCAAATTGCTTTTGCTGCTATGATAAAACTTGTATGAGAATCAATTCGCCAAAATTAATGCACATCATTAATTTACTACTCGATCAATTAATTTTCGTACAAGCAGACTATAATCAAAACCTATATTAAAGAAAATTGAGTTTTAATCCTAAAGTCATCTATAATATATTCTGTTTTCGCGATATTGTGGAAAGTCATTTGTCTCTTTCCGTGCAATTTTCACGCGTCAATGTTCGCAAAATGTTGCACAAAATTACAAAAATATACGGAGTGCTAGGATATAGGTAAGCGTGTAGTGGTTCACGAATTCAAAAGTCTTTATACTTTAAACTGTTTTAATATTATTTTAACGTTATAATGAATATATGTATGTATACTTATAAACGTAAAAGAGTATTTAACACTAATGAAACTGCAGAAAGGACTTCTCGTGTCCATTAGTATGGCACGCATTTTTGTTCTCTCTTATCGCGAAAAATCGTGTTATCGCATTCTTCGATGCAATTGACTTTTACGTACTTTTGACATAAAGATGCTCTCGCTTTCGCGACACTCGCATATATGTGAATCCATTCGCGATGCGACGAAAATGATAAACATTATTAACTTGTTTACGATCGTTTTTAGAAGGGGCTACTCGTGCAATTAAATAATTATTAAGATATCGAGAAACGTGTGTTTTATATTTCGTAATAATCGGGACTATCGGGAGCGCGCGGTTGCGCGCAGTCATGCACTTTAGCGCGGACCAGGGAGAGAGAGACCGCCTCATCGCCCGGCATCCGTGTCAGGTTTCGGTGGACGATCAGAAAATTACGGTGCCTCGGGCTCTCCTCCCCCCCTCCTCGCGCGCGCCACGACCACCCCGTTTTTTCGTCGGTGCACTTAACCGTGTGCAAAACCCAATCACGATCGATCCGAACGAACGATTCGGACGGACCACCGCGAGGAACCGAAAGGAACACGGGCGGCCGGTTTTGCGATTATTAGGGCCGGGAGATACGCAGGAATAAAAAAGGAGTAAAGAGCGAGATGCCAATATATATAGCCGGCGCGCAATAAGATAATGACTCACGAATAATGTGATTGCCGGGGCGGTCAGATCCGGAAGTCGAAAGAAACGATCAAGTCGAAACAATCGGCAATGACTCGGCTTCTACATATAAAACTGTCTGCTGTTCGAACTTCATTCATTTGAATAAATTAATAGTTATTTTCCGATATGCTTTAATTACGATCGTTTTTAGAAGGGGCTACTTGTGCAATTAAATAAGTATTAAGACCGATATCGAGAAACACGCGTCTACTTCGCGTACACTTCGTAATAATCGGGACGGGACTATCGGGAGCGCGGTTGCGCGCAACTATGCACTGGAGCGCGGACCATGGAGAGAGACCGCCCGCTATTACTTTTTCCTACTATTATCATTCCTATCTGAATTTTTTTTTCTTGGTGACATGAATCACGCGCGTTTTGCGTAAACTTATATGTATGAAGTCTGTACATACTTAATCATAATTTATTTTCTTCCACACGTTTCACACGTTAGAGGAGATTATTATCTGCAATAAATCACGTAAGATACATACATTTAGTAGGAGATATATACGTTGGATATTCGCAAGGCACACCGCAACTGCATGCTGGCGTCATCTAGCGAAGTCGAGTCCGAATCACTAAGTTAGTAGGAATTTCCTACATTTCTGTATTACCAGCTCTGGTATTACTTTACCGAATATATTTTTATATTCCAGTAACCTCTAAAAAAAAAATCGTACACATCATTGTTGAATTGCGTTTGACGTGCACAATAATGAATGAACAAACGTACAGAAAAGAGCATTTTTGCATGATTAAAACAAATTAAGGAAAAATTGTTAAAGGACATAATAATAGTAAACTAAGTAAACAATAAGGGACAGTCGCTACAGTTTTACGCAACGAAATTTTGCAATATATATTATAAAATAAACTGCCGAATTAAAATTGTGAAACATTTAATACCATTAGAAAATATATCTGTCACGATTCAGGATAAGAAAATTTCAAGGATTTATCTATCTCCCCGTCTCGTCCTCTACAACATCTTTAAATGACTTTCCACAGCTTTTGCTGAAAAAAAAAACTTGTGAGAAAGAACTGGAGTGAATATTTACCAGAAGGAATATTCATTAAATAACAATATGTCACATTAATATATTGCGAGCTTGAGTATATAACGCGCTGTCGAGTCACGCGCACTTAGTTGTATGCTATTTACAAGAACTATAAATCAGGATTATTTATGTGGCGGCCACGTCCACTGGTTGGACGGTGCTTCCTGCATTAATTTCTCCCATGGTTTCCAGACCAACATCTTCTCCGCCAGCGACAACTCGTTCTTTGCCTGTATTATAAGCTCCTCCACCTGTCCGCAGCCCACCTTGTCTTCTATAGCTTGCACGCTTTCAGTCTGCAAAATGTTACAATTGCTCAGAAACAGTACATGACAATTATTACATAGGATAATCATTGCTGCCTCCACGAGTTGTGCTATTCACCTTTTGCACGATCGTCAGTCTGCTCTTGATAACCCCCTCCGTTTCCTTCCGATAAGTGTAATCCTTCGGGAACTGGCCCAGCACTCTCAGAAGTCTATTGTACAGCGGTATTAATTCCATGTGAGGATTCTTGCACACGGCTAGTCCTTTCAAATTCGTAGACTGCAAATGAAAGTTTTGTCTATGTTAAAAAGTGTGAAGTGAACTCACTGAATCCTTGCAAGAGTTATTTGTATCAGAATCGACGAATATAGTGGAAATACATGTTACGACCGGCTAATTACGCGTGTGCATCGTTGCATGCGTAGATAAATTACCTTTTTGAGCACACCTGCCATGGTCAGGGCGGTATTACCTAACACTCGATTATGTTAGAGATCTCCCTTCACTCCATCAGTTTTCTAACCTCAAAATTTATTGTCATGCATGTATACCGTCTTATGGAAGATCATGATGAGTTTCTGAACACACTATTGTTACAAAATTCTATGGCACGAATCTGCGCGATGAACATCTTTTGAAATTCTTAATATTACGTTATTTAAAGAAATTCGAATAATGTGCAAAATTTCAGTAATTAGAATAAAAATCTCATCTTAAAAAGAATTTAATTCATTAAAATACGTTTTAAGACGAGGAACAGAGAATCAGTGGAGATCGGAAATAAATAAGTGAGGGGCAATTTAAAGATAGAACGTTTTTATTTATTTTTTCCGCATGTAGAAATATTTATCGATTAGATTTGGCGACGCGCTCCAATTCGTCCTTCTTCTTGATCGCGTACGAATTCGACGAACCCTTAGCGGCGTTAATGAGTTCGTCGGCTAAACACTCGCCGATCGTTTTAATATTGCGGAATGCGGCCTCCCGCGCGCCAGTGCACAACAACCAGATGGCTTGATTAACACGTCGTAACGGGGAAACGTCCACGGCCTGTCGCCTCACCGTACCAGCGCGACCAATACGCGTGGAATCTTCTCTCGGTCCAGAGTTGATGATGGCTGTGACAAGAACCTGAAAAACACAAATGTTCGAATGAAACAAGTGTAATATTCAATTACGTTATGTAAATTAATTAAATGTGCCTCGCGTATGAAGTGACATTAATTTAAAATTAAATTTGAGATGAACATAAAATAAATATAATAAAGTTAATAATAAATACAATAATAGACTATTATGTGTGTGTATGTGTACATAAACTTTCAAATTAAACTCTTTAAGGTAGTCCAATGTACAAATATTCAAAGTAAAGACACAAAGGTCTCGAATGTAGAGCAAACTTTAAACAGCAAAACTCACCTGCAGAGGGTTCTCGCCAGTGAGAAGGTGAATGATTTCGAAGGCGTGTTTCACGATTCGCACAGCCATTAATTTTTTTCCATTATTTCTGCCGTGCATCATAAGCGAGTTTGTAAGACGCTCCACAATAGGGCACTGAGCTTTCCTGAAGCGCTTCGCCGCGTAACGCCCTGCCGAATGTGGAAGGTACTTCGCGTTTTTCTCCTTAACTGCGATGTAATCCTGCAGAGACATATCGTTCACCTGTACGTCGTCGCAGTTCCAACGACCGAACAATTTAATCTCTGGCAATTCAGCCGGCATGGCTACCGGCAATGTATTTGTGGTGGCCACCACCATATCTTCGAAAGCTTCCTTGTCATCCATTGTTTATCTGTCACAGAAAAAGAAAAAAAATTGTTACTTGCTCTTGTAATAAAACATAAGTTAAAAAACCGCGAATAATTTTTCTATTAAGGTATCCCAAATTATATACTCCTAAATGTATACAAATTCAGTCAAATTTTAAATGATTTCTAATATTGTATAACAAATTATTTTCATATTATACAAAGCTCATATATATTTTCTCTTTTAATCTATTAAAAAAAAAAATGTAACAAATATATAAAAGAATTAAAATAACTTTTAACACAATAAATTAGAGGACACATTAAATTTTTACAATCTTTATTAACAATTTAAAGAAATAATTTGGGATAAATCGGACAAATTCGTTACAATTCTCAGAGAAAGAGAGGGAAATATTTATATTTTCGGGGGCGGCTGTCGCGTTTTGTTTGGCACACGTCGAAGCGTAAACAGAGGAACGAAAATCGACGATACGGCACGATGCGATTCCGCGTAAGTCGATCGCTAGGCGAACGCTCCAGCTCGTTAAATTGCTCAATGAAAAGGTCCGGACAGGCACGAAACTGGCAAAACACATGGCCACGCGGTCACATGTACCGCTGCTCCGCGCGTGCTTCTCTCGCGCGAGATCCCGCACGCTTTCCCGCACCCGCACGATCACTCGCGGACGACCGCCCGTCCACGATCGCTCGACAACGCCGACCCGCACCGCCTCGCGAAATTACCTCGGAGCAAACGGCTATTCCTACGCGGTAACTTACGTTCACGTCTTCGTCCGTGCGGGCGTGAATAGGAAAAGGCCATTACACCGCGAGCGCCACCTGCCTAAGATCGCCGGATTTTGAAACGCTAGTCAAAATTGCAGCCCGGCGGCGGAGGGGCGTGAAAATTCGACACCGTTTTTGGTCGAAAACGCGATGCAAATATAAATGCATCTCAAGATCAACGTCTGCGATGAGTAACACCAATAAATATGCAGGAAAGTACACAATTGCTGATTTGACCACAGGTGTGTTTTTTGCAGCTGCACTATACTGCACCTTTCGCACTCTAGATGAAATAAATATAATTGAAATAAAAAAGAGAAAAAATAAATAAATAATGTAGAGACACAACTGAAAGAAATATATCTCGTGGCTATGTAAAATCAGAGAGAAGCATCACTCTCTGATCCGAGAGAGGACATGATGTCACACGATGACGGCCTTTTGGCTGTAACGTTAAAATCCCCTCGTGCACTAGCGCCCTCTGAAGAAGTGGATCCAAATTATATAGCAAAATCCAGTTTTCTGCACAATTTGTGGTGCGTGTCCGTACTAAATCCCCTATTCGAGTCTGCTGGATTTTTATTCTCGAAAAATTACGTATTCAAAAGTATGTACATTTCCGTACTTTCTAATGCGTAATTTTTCGAG